AGACCTCCTTTGATTCATAGGATTGGAATATCATAGGAATAGGAAAATCATAGAAAGTGAGGTGACATGCATCTCAATTCCTATAGGAAAAGAGATATCACTTGATTCATAGGATAGGAATTTTTCCATTGAGTTTAGGCTAATGTTTTTTTTCCTTTGAAATGTGAAGGATTGATGCTTATCCTACATAGGAATATGAATACATTCCTACAAACCAAAGGGCTACAAAGGAATTTTTCCTACAAATTTCCTACAAGATTTCTCCAAACCAAAGGAGACGTCAATTAAAAAACAAAAGAGTGATGTTACTGACCACATCGGTGGATCGGTCTCCTATCTCCGACAGACATGATGAGTATCATATGCTGGAACCGTTGTGGTCTTGATGGACGGGCGCCATCACTGTGGTGGCTTGTGCGGCAATACCATCCCACCTTATTCCTTACTGGAACTAAAATGAGGGATTCGAAGGAGGCCCTGAATTTCGTGCCAACTATGGGTTTTACTGGTGGTTTTGGTGTAGGCCGTGTCCTTGGTGTTGGTTTGGTTTTTGTTTTGGCAAAGTTCTGTTTTGGTTTCTCCGAAGCACTACCATGCACATTGTGTTAATGTTGAAGTGATGGAGGGGAACTCTGCCTTGGAGAAAGGTCAGAGACATGAATTCTGGAACCTACTTCGTCGGTTAAGTACCCATAGGTCTGGTCCCTGGATTTGTTGTGGTGACTTCAGTGAGGTGCTAGAACATGAAGAACACATTGAGCTGCTTCCCTTGGCCAATACTAAGATCAACAGTGAGAACACACGACCCGACCCTTGTTTCTTGTTGATAATCTCAGTGTCTCACCTCTTGGTGTTGATCCCTTTATCTTCTTGTGATAATTTTATTTTTTGCCCTAATCAATTGATTTAATTTTGGATGATCTAGGTTGTTTGTGGTGGAAAACTCGGCACTGTTTTTTTGCCTTGTTATGGCTTGATTTATACACTCCTAAGTGTTGATTTTGTGGACAGTCATGTGTTTTACTGTTGGGCAAAAGATCTAATCTATGTGAAGTTATGTTGTTGCTGATATCATTGCCTTTGTGTTAAAAGTGGAACCTCCAAGAGAATGACTTCAAAGATCCCGGAAAATGTGAAGCTCTTTCCAACGTCAATTACTTGGGAACAAAGGCATGAACATTAACAACACTTGCATAGCTCAAAATCATTCGTATCATCGATTTTCTTAGTGTTGTCTCGCCTTCATGCCTGTTTTTCAAAAATGTTAGGTGCAACTAAAGGGAGCAAGAAGACGTGCACTTAAAACGATGCAGATCATGGGGACATTGCAAGAGATTTAAGAGCAGCGCTAAGAAAATTAAAGCAAAGCTTATTGAGCTAAAAAAAGTACTCCCTCTGTTTATTTTTATAAGACGTTTTGACAATTCAGACAACAGACAAAATAGTTCAATGTGAGTTGTCCAAAACGTCTTATAAAAAAGAACGGAGGGAGCTTTAGAGAAGAAGCTTCAACACAGCATGAAAATGAAGGTCATGTTTGAGAGCAGAAGCCGTTGATGCAGAAAACAAGGTACTGTCTCATTTTGAGGGTAAAGCTACTAGAAATGGACTCCTTAACTGAGAATAAAATTATGAAATCCAAAAAGACAGAGGAGCAACCTGAGAATCTTAACTAAGGTGGTTGCGTCCAATGCATTGGCACCTGTTTTTAGGGCTCTTTTCATAAAAATAAACTTTACAATTTTATCGCCATCTTGAAGGCCGCTTGCCTTGGCGCTAGCAAGATGATTGGTTCCCCCCTAAAGGAGAAGGCAATCATGAGGAAATGCAAGAAGTGGGTGCTCTATCTTCAATCCGACATCTTGAAGGAGAAGTCTTCTAGGAGCAAAAGCAAGAAGAACGGCACCATATGAGGGCGTCCGTGATTGCTTGACGGATGCACGTCATTTCAATGTTGCCTTATGTATTGGTCGTTGTGTTTTTGTTGGGTGCCTTTGTGAGGTCACGATCTATGTGCCAGGTGTTTTACGGGTGTAGCTTGTTGAGAGTTTATAGAGATTTGGGAGATTTTGCCATGGTTTAAGGAAAAACCGCGCCTTTGATCGTTTTGCCACGTGCTAGCCGGGCACGGTCCGACCAACCGATCGATCGGAACGAGAGAGATGAACAAAGGTGCCCCCCTACAGGGGCGTGCCATGTCTGGCTCATTGCAGCACGAACGTTCACCTTGCCTCAAGGATGGTTAATAGGGAGCTGGCCCAGTAACTGTTCGTTTGATTTGTTTGCTTCTTTTTTTTAATTTTATTTCTATTTTGAAATGTTATAAATATATATTTCAAAGATAACCTTTACGGGAAAAAAATTGAAGGTGCATTTTTTTTATGAAATGTAAAAATTTGTTCGCGCAATTGTTCATTCCATTAAAAAAAATGTTGGTATCATTTACAAAATGTCCACATGCTTAAACATATGTTCATGAAAATGTAAAAAAAAATCGCATCATTTGTAAAAACTTTTCATACCAATAAAAATTGTTTATGACATTTGAAGAAAATTCACACATTTATGTTCACGATTTTTTTAAATACTCATGAAATGTAAAATTGTTCGCACATTTTTTTGAAAATGTTTATAACATGTAAAAAATGTTTGTGACATTAAAAATGCTCATAACACTTATGAAATTGTTCGCACATTTCAGAAAAAATGTTCAACTTGTGTTTAAAAATGTTCACCGTGTATTAGAAAAAACAATAATGTACATCTTTACAAAAATGTTGAACATGAATCCAAATAAACATTCATCGCGTGTTTAACAAAAATGTACAACGTGTATCTACAAAATGTTCAACCTATATACGTAAAATGTTCAACATATATTACAAAAATCAACATATGGAAATGGTTTTGTTTAAAACATGAAAACAGTGAAGAAAAACATAGAAAACTGAAGAAAAAAATAGCACGGGACCTTCTTAAAATCAAGCAAGGATTTTAAACCAATCCCCGTTGTTGGTTAAAACGGTTGGCGCACGCTTTGTTGAATCAGCCCATCCAAGTGAGAGCTGCTACGGTCTCGCTATATAAGCCAAACCATTTCACATATGGATTGGTTTAACATTATGGGCAATACGGTTTCGCTATGACTTGTTTCTCTTGGAATCATTATCACATACATATTTCATCTTTGTTTTTGTAACATTATGGGCAATATGGACAACGCGACAAAAGACGATTCACAAACACATTTCCAGCCGCCCATGTCTACCCATATGTTCATTCGAAGTTTCATTAGTAACCTTGGCCAACCCCCGAAACCAAAACCGAATTACGATTGCATTTGTCCCCTCCGCCGCTCGGCTGCCTAAAGCAAATGGTGTAGTCAATATTCAGGGCGGACGAGGAACTGTTGCTGCTGTGTGTCGGGATCAAATCCACACGTACATGGGTCATGGGATCCTCAGCTATTGCTCTTAACGTTGTAACCGATATGGCTGTCCTTGAAAGCTTTGGCATGCAGAGAAGCTCGGTCTTTATCAACTGATGTTCTGGCAACGTACATTCTTGTTTTTCGAGACAACAATTCGGTCATCATCAAAGATATGCTCCCTCCGTCCTTTATAAGACATTTTTTAACATTACACTAGTGTTAAAAAGTGTCTTACATTATGAGATAAAGGGAGTAGAAGCCAATGTTTGAAGGAGCTAATGTGTTGGTGATTAAAAAACTCGTTGCCGCTCCCCTAAAGAGCTGGGGCTAAACCCAATGTAGACCTAGCCGCCGTCTCCAAGAACCCTAGCTTTCTGCCTCCCATCGGCGCCGGCGCCAGTCCATCCCGTCTCCGGTGGCCGTATGGCCATGGAGGCGGAGTGGATCTCGGCCCTTGCCGGTGGGAGGGCTCCGTTTTTAGATCTTTTTTCGAGCTTTGTTAGGGTTTGTGTCCTACTTAGGAAGACGAGACGGTGTCGGCTCCCTGAAGATGGAATAAAGGTCTCTCCGCCTAGCCCCCGTTCCGGTGATGCGTCTTGCATCGTCGGTGGGCGTGTAAAGCTGTGTCTCCGGCGGATCTGTCTTTGGTGGATTTGCTCGGATCTGTTCGTAGTTCGTCTTCGTTCTTGTGTTTTCAGGTTGGATTTTTTTGATCTACACTCTTCATCCGCGGCGGTTGCTGTTTTGGTGCGTTGGTTCTACGGCGCCTTAGCACGACGATTTCCCGACTGTCTACTACAACAAGGTTTGCCCGGCTCCGGCGAGGGAGGGACGATGACAGCGGCGCGCCTTTGGCTCGCTTCGGTGCTTATAATTGTGTTAGGTGGTATACGGATCTGGATGTAATTTTTATTATTTTTAGTTTTCGTTGTTCTACCATAATTGAAGATGAATAGATTGAAAGTTTTCCCGTAAAAAAAAAGTGGTGGTGATCAAAGAGATGAACCGGGAAGAACAATTTTGAAGAGTGTCGGTTTATTTGCGAGTCTAAACTATGAGCGGATAGTTTAGCTACGTTTTCTGTTTTGCTCAATGCTGGTAGGCATGTGTGCTCCTGGAGCCACATCATTTTTCTAACAAAATAAAAAAAGGGAAAAACAATAAGCCCTTTAGCATTTGCACGCCTGCGTCCTAAAAAAACATTTGTGCGCCTGCAGCGCCGAATCCTTCTGCCCAACGTGCTCGCCTCACCGTTGGTCCGGCCGGGCTGCCTCACCGCCGTGACACCGGAGCTCGCCGCGGATCGCCCCCAAGCCTCCTTCGGAACTCGCCGCGCGCCGCCCCCAAGCTCCCCACCCCCAACAACCCCCAAAAATCGCGCTCCCACTTCTGCTCTCCCTCGCTTAGTTGACTCCTCGTCAGGCAGGCTTCTTGCGGCGGCGCGAGGTGAGCCCATCCGGCGACAGATATTCTTGCAGCACATCTTCTCCGGCGTGTCGTTTGCACCCGCTCCCTTCCCTGATCGTCAGCTGAACTCTGCAGCTTGGGCGCAGGCAACCTGTTCGACGAAATGTTCAGGAGGCTGAGCGAGGAGGGAGGCACGGCCGTCAGCGAGCACCGCATCGGGGACCTCCCGGACGACCTGCTGGCGTACCTGGTGTCGTTCCTGCCCTCGCGCGACTCCGTGCGGACGTGCGTGCTGGCCCGGCGCTGGCGCACGCTCTGGATGTCCGTGCCCGCGCTGCGCCTCGAGGACGACCCGCGGAGCGACGGCAGCCCCAGGAGCAAGTTCGTGGACGAGCTGCTGTGCCGCCGCCACCCGACACCTCTGAACCTATGTGACATCTGTTCTGATTACGACACCTTTCACTGCGAGGAGGCGTTCAAACGCATCAAGCCGTGGCTCCGGTACGCTTTCTCGCATGACGTTCGGGCGCTGCGAGTCGTCGCTGGTTCGTTGACAACCAACCTGGTCCTTGTCTCGTCACACCTGAAGAGGGTAGAGCTTTGTTTCATGCAGTTCAAAGGCTCTGTGGATTTCACGGGCTGTCGGGTGCTAGATGTGTTAGAGATGAAAGGTTGTAATATCCTTGCGAGCATCTTGTGTCAGTCAGTACGACATCTTACCGTCAAAGGCGGGCGTTTTGATGATAAAATCCGCCGTCGTATTTCTGCCCCAAATCTCATCAGCTTGAAACTAGCTCCATACCAGGGTTTGACTCCGTTGCTTGATAGCATGCCGTCGCTGGTAACAGCATCTGTTGAATCCTTTGACCAGCAGTATCATTACTGTTTTGATGTACCATGTGAAGGATGTGATAGGCAAGCAGGATTTTGTGTGGTTTTGGAAGGCTTGTCTGCTGCTACAAATTTGGAGTTAACAACTGATGATCAGGTATGCATGCTCCCATTTTTGCTAATTCCTTTGTCTTTTTTTCATGTGCTAGATCTCGTTTATGTTTGTATCCAGATATCTGTCAGTACAAGCATATTGAACAAGCTCATTATGTGCATTGTTGTTTTCACCGTTTCACATGTTTGAATCTTGATGTTTCTATGTACTCGTCTGGCAGTACGCATACCTCTACTTGATACTTTAGTCAGATGTATACTGTTGTAGCATGTAGGATTGAGATTAATTTGTGAGCAATATTTCTGAGTAGACCAGAAACTGGCAAAGTACAACTTCGGATATTGATCTCATTATCTGGTAACACTTAATTAACTTTGTTTCTATGAAAAATAAGAACCACCAGAACGTTTCCAAAGCATGTACTTCTGTATCTCAAAAAGTTGTTTTTAACCCCTTCATTTTGTCCAGTTATCTGTTTTCAGAATGGATTTGAAATGGTGCCCCATGTTTAGCAAGCTCAAATGCTTGTTGCTGAACAAATGGTGTGTGGCTGGTGATTTCACTGGATTAGTTTACTTCCTCCAGCACTCATCAATTCTAGAGACGCTGACACTTCTGCTTGATTTTCGAACTCACGAGGTATATATTCTCAAAGTTTGATAGGTTATTTCTTTGAAGTCGCCATGTACCTCCTGCTGACTTCAGGAAAATATTTCTGTTTGCTACAGAAAGGGCATGTGATGGAAACATATGACCCAAAGGAACAATCACCACTATTGAAGCATCTCAAGGTAGTCAAAATCATATGCAGCTCGACGAAGGAAGATGTTATAGTTGACCGTATCCTAAAGATCCTCTGTGCCCATGGAGTGCCTTCCGAGCAAATTGACATCCAATAGAAGTATAGAACTTTCTTCTGCTGTTCGACTGTAAGTAACCAAACCAGTCTTCACGATTATATCTTTGATAGTCGGCATATTTATGTATACAGTGTGCTCGGATATATACAGTACCGACCGACCTAGTTTGAAGCAGCATTCCGTACTAGATCTTGTTGCACCATTTCTACACCCGCCATGATAGCATGCATTTCAATCCGTGGCACTGGCACCACAATGTCATAATAATAGAAAGTATGAAGTAAGGATCAAATGTTTGATTGGTTAAACTAGCAGATGCACACTAAAGGCAGGCAGTACCAAAGGCAGGACGATTTTGCAACTGTCTGTCCATTTCGTCCTTGTAACAGGATTGGATTGGGGTAGTTTTAGCGAGTTGCTATTTTGTTGCCTGTAGATCGAGTAAATGGTCAAACGCTATGCTACCCTATGAACCAACAAAGTTGAACCTTGTGTTGAGTTTCATATAGCAAACTATCCTTCCAACATTCCCATGACTAGATCAAGTGGCATGCTGGTCCAATGACCATCCAATCAGTCAATAATCTTTCATACAGTTTCCCCTGCATCTATCTACTGCTTCTTCCAACCTGGGCTCTCATGTTCTCATTGTTTCCTCTGTTTTTTATTCAGGCTTCCATTTTGAGCTGGTCTTTGTGTCCTTGGATCACACCAGGAAGGAAGTTGCTGTGTTTTTGTCTAGCATACCACCCCAGGATGCGCCTCCCCATGTCCTGTTCATATATATGACCTTGTATGTAACCTGCTGTATGTATGTCTTGCTTGGATGCAGTCGGAGCATGTTGTTATACTGCCTGTCACCGTGGTCCTCCTCGTGCGCTTTGTGCTCATTTCCTCAACTCGGCGGCAGGCCTGAACTGCCAAGATGATGTTTCAGGGACCCTGTCTAGTGCTGGTTGTTCCAGAATCGCGCTAGGTTGATTCCAGAACTATAAATCCCGCCTTGTGGCTAGGATCGGTTTCCAGATGCGATGTGTATACAGTATACTAACTAAAACCACACCCTTTGCATATCCTCTTATGTCTCTCCCCAAAAAACACAGACACCCTTGTGGAAGTTGCTTGAACCAAAGGATGAAAGACGTTTCTTTTTGTTGTGCTGCTGCTGCTGAGATTTGCACTTTCTATTCTGCTGGATTTTTTTTCCGGGTGTTTGCTAGATATTTTTGCGAAAAGAAACATAATTCGGGCTGCGTGGATGCAAATACTTAGTGGAATCATGTATAGGTCTCTGGTTACCAGAATTACGATCGAATTCGTGGATACGTTGTATGTCTTCGGTTGCCTGAATTGGGGAAAAATTGCGTGTGAATCTCTAGATACATCCGTATCTAGACTAATCAAAGACAAGAATTTTGGGACGGAGGGAGTACCAAGAGCTAGCAATTCGCTAGTCCAAGGTACTACACTGAATACATGGACTGTGAGACTCTATGTAGTAGTGGTTACACTGGTGGAGAGCATCCTTATAGTGCTAGATAGGTTGTTTATGCCTACTCATCAACACATCGTATGGTTGCTATTCAGTCATATGGAGCTATCAATTTATTAGTAGTTCATGATCATACTGTATTTTTACTCGCTATGCCTGTGATGCTTTTGATTGTCCGCTTTTTACTCATCCCAGCGCCTGTGTCTGAAGAACATCAAAGGAAACGATGGTGCTATCACGCAGTATGATGCCACTCATATTTATCATCGGCTACGATTCTCCATCGATCATGTCGAATGAGGGTGATGGGTAAGTGATGATCCTTCCGTACCTCGACTCGTAGCCAGTACTGTTACTTCATTATTATGAATCACGTTTGTCAAAACTAATAAATCAGAACAGTTTTTGCTGGAAAAGATATCCGTCATATCATACTTGTGACTTTGTCTAACAAAAGTTGTTACACAATATCTAGATTTCAAACGATGGCTAGTCTGTTGTGGAACATCTGTGATGAACAAATGTTCCTGCCTTACATTCTCATAGTCTTCTTCTAACATGGTAATGTTACCAGTTTTTGATGCGATTTCGCCACTGGATGCAGGTGGGTGCCCGTCGACCCGGAAGCACATTGTCGTCATTGGGTGGGGACTCGCTGAAGATGGAGATGCCTTCCTTTTCCGTCTTCGGGGTCTCCGAAATTCAGCGCATTTGAACATATGACAAGCTCTCAGCAAAAAAGACAAATTGGGGGTCTCCGAAAAAGTAAAAGTTTACTGTTCTACACAGTTTGGACTTTTTTTTTTGCTAAGAGCTACACAGATGTCCGAATGAGCTGAAACTTGGCACGTATTGTCACATCCCTAGCTTCTGGTGCTGCCTAGTGTGTGCATCATGTTTAAATTATTGAAACCTGAACTGAGGAATTTTGGAAGCCTCAAAAACTTAAATAAAAGAGGGGCAAAAACCCTAGAAATCTCATTCATTGCTCCAAAGTGCTCTTCTTAAATGTTAGATAATTTTTGGTAAGGGTTCTGGTCCCAACCAAAATATTGAACATTTTTTAAGGATTTATTTTTGGGACTTTGGATTTAATTCATTAGCTATTTGAATTTGAATTATATTCATATAATTAGAATATAATTTCAAATACCCCTGAAATATTTTATAAGCTTTTGGAAAAGTCCATCTAGCAATATAAAATATTCAGAGGAGTTTTTGGCATTGTTTGAATTATTTTAAATTCAAAACAGTGGCAAAATAAATTAAATAAAACAAAATAGAAGAAAAAAATAAAACAGAGCAGAAAGCCACTGGGCCACTTACCTGGCGCCACTTACCTGGCCCAGCTCCATCTGGCCGGCCCAGCCCACCTCCTCCCCCTTGTCCTCTTCCTCCTCTGCCAGGAGGACGAACAGAGGCGAGGCGTGGCGCGCGCCCGAGAAGCCTTGGCCACCTCCTGCCTGGTTGCCTCCCTCCTCGATGCGCCTGGAGACGCCACGACACCCTGGCCTCTCTCTCACTCTTCCTGGAACCCCTCTCGCTCTCCCTCCGTCCCTATTCCCCCTCTGCTCTCTCTCCCTCCCGCGACCGAACGGAGCCGCCGCCACCGACGAGCTCCCTCGCGGCCACCGGCCACCCCACGCAAACCCGACGCGCCCAGAAGCTCCGCCACGTTGTCTTCTTCATCTTCGATGAGCCACGCAAGCCGGGAGGGCCCGGAACATCGCCATCGCCGTCGTCTTCCACCTCGGGCTCCGACCACCGCCGCCGTTGATTCGCCGTCTCCACCGCCTCCCCGAGCACGCCGACCTTCTCTTCGAACTCACCGTGAGCCCCTGTCCATTTCCCCTCTCTCCCCGTGCCCGTCCGCGCCTTCTAACCACCCCGGCTGTCGGGGCCGACCGTTCCTCCCCGCCGGCGATGACGCAGACGGTGCTAGAGCCACCGTAGCTAACTCCCGAGCACGGCAATGTGCTCAGCACCCTTCCAGGAGCCGAGCGCGCCCACCCGTGCGACCTGCCGTGCCCCCTAACGCCAACCCCGACCTCGCCGTGCTCCGGCCGCCGCCCCGCTCGCCGCCGTCGCCAAATCCGACCTCCCCAGCACGAACGGATGCCACGATTCGATGCGCGCACACACCAGCTACGCGTAGAGCCCCTCAGTCTACGATTTGGTCGCCGGAGGAGGATTTCCGACCCCCTCCGCCGTCTCTGGCTCCGCCGGCGACAAGCCGCGGGTCAACTCCGGCGAGTTGACCCGGGGTTTGACCCCCTGACGTGTGGGCCCAGGCGCCTGCTTGATTAGTGTTAGATTAGTTAGCGTTAATTAACTTAGCTAATTAGATAGGCCACTGACATGCGGGCCCTGCCCGGCTAACTAAGTTAGTTAGGGCTAACTAACTTGGTTAGTTGACTGGGTCACTGACCAGTGGACCCCACTGGTCAGGTTTGACCTGGTCGACGCCTTTGACCTGCTGACGTCAGGGTGAGGTCATGCTGACGCAATAATTCCTTTCTGGAATTTAAATAAATCTTAAATGATTTAATAATTCCAGAAAATGCCTAAAACTTCTAAAAATCATAGAAAATTAACCGTAACTCCAAATTAAATAAATTATATATGAAAAATTATCAGAAAAATTCAAGGAATCCATCTGTACCACTTTCATGCATGTTAGAACAACTTATAGCTGCTGTTTAGTATAAATCAATTAAATGGCATTTGAATAATCACATATGGAGTTTGAATTTGAATCTTGTATTCAAACCAACTTCATTTAATCTGTTGCTAGTTGCATTAGCTCAAAACACATTCATATTGCCATGTCATGAGCATGCATCATACTGTGCATTGCATTGATTGTGTTCCCTTCTGTGTTGCCGGTATTTGTCCCCTCTCGATAGACGTGATACCGATGATGTGACCGTTGACACTGATGAAGACTCAATGTTATCTTCAGAAGTGTCAGGCAAGCAAAACCCCCTTGTTCATTCCGATACAATCCTACTCTCTCGCTCCTGCTCTCTTTTAATGCATTAGGACAACACCGATTTATCTGTTACTTGCTGCGGTAGCTGAACCCCTTTATCCTTTGCATGACCTGTCATTGCCACAGTAAATAGATGAAACCCACTAGCATGAGTAGGAGTTGTTTGAGCCCTGTTGTGCCTACTCATTCATGCTTGTTTGTCATGCCTGCTACTGCTTAGAGTTGAGTCAGGTCTGATTCATCGGGGATGAATCAGAGGTGTGTGAACATGTCCTACTGTGTGTGAGCTAAGTGTGTGAACACGATTTGGTAAAGGTAGCGGTGAGAGGCCATGTAGGAGTACATGGTGGGTTGTCTCATTGCAGCCGTCCTCAGGAACTGAGTTCTGTGTTTGTGATCCATGATTCAGCTACTACCACGCATTGGGCCCGAAACCAATGGACCCTCTCGGCTTCTTAATCACCCTTGTCCTCTGTCCAGGAGTTGCAAGTAGTTTCTGGTGTTTGTAGTATGCTGGAGGCCGTGCGCAGCGCTGACCGGAGGGGTGGGCTGTGA